GGAATTATTATGTTGTAATTGAATATGTAAATTGTATTATGTTTCATTGGAGAACTTATAATTTGTAATATTTGGATATTGTGTAATATTGGAGCATACAATATGATGAAAGGGAAATAGGCCTATTTTAGGGTTATGATTATGCATATGTTTAAAGAATACATGCAAATGGATCAAAGTGATTGAAATGGTTTAAGTTTTGATAATGCAATTAACGAGTTGTAAAGTAAGCGAATTGATATAAATTATGATGGGTTGTAAGAGCACCAGGGCATTGTTGTTTCTTAAGTGTCACCTGTGTCTATTAGGTACCCTGAATGATAGATAACACACTCTTACAAAAATGGGATATGTTGGAAAAACAAAGGAGATGCTGGTGAAATTTCTATAAAATGACAAATTTTGGGTGAACTTTGGAAGAGCATAACTCCCTCCACAAAAGTCCAATAGGGACGTTCCATACACCATTTTGAAGATTGAGATGTCAACTATCTTGTGCCAAAATTTGAGAACCATAGGAGTAGCACGCTGCCCTATAGAAGCCATTGAACACAGACTGCTCATAAATCCCCTGCACTTAGGGCTGTCTGGACCGGTTTTTGGAAAAATTATTCCCGCCTCAATTCTTGGTCAAATTAGTCTCATGATATGTTAAATTGAAGCTTGATGTATCTAGTTTACTGTATAAAATTTGAGAGCAATTGGTGGAATGGTTTGTCCGGAATCGTGGAAAGAGTGAGGGCTGTTTGGAGCCCTGTTTGAGGTTGCTGGCATATTTGCTTGTCCAACTTCAAACAGTGATAATCGGAGAAAAAGAGAACTTTTTGGAGCGTGAGACATCTTGTTAGAAAGATAATTAAGTCTAGAATAACATACTAAAAGATGAGAGGTTCGAGACACACGGATTTTCTGTAATATCCAAAAGACTGAACCATGTTCTGAAAGGTAAAAACCATAAAAGTGAGATTTAGGCTAAGTGGATTTATGGGAATCCCTTAGTGATTGAGAGAAGTATTATATGATAGTTAGACAATTAATATTATTATTCCGCATTTATTTTTCATTTATGGTCACAACTTTTATTCATTACACTTTATTATTGTTTTAAATGCTCGCGTAATGAAAAGGAAAAAGTTTACTCGCATTTTTATAAATGAGCTGTTGTGATTGTAACTGCGCTTAATATAATAATCAATGTTAACAATACCGGTACGTAACGGGCTGTTACACCTATTGTTGCAACAACTAAATAGATAATCTTCATATGCAAGCACACTTGATCAGCCATAAATAAATTAGAAATATTTAGCATGAAGCTTCATTCATTTAATAATGCAAGCAAGTCAAGACTACACATTTATCAATAATGAGACACTGGCCAAAATGCCTGTAAAGGATGGTTAATCATTTCATATCCACAACATTACAAGCTCTTCTATTTTTCTTCTCATTTATTACAAGACATCATAACAGAACATTATTATTTACTTCTTTTTCAAAAGGTTACTAACTTGACGACAATACAATATGAAAGCTAAAAATTATCCACTAGCTCAAGCTTCAAACTAAGCGAAGTACCACAGGGTATTGCTTTAGAGTTCCCTTATCTATATCTATGGCTTTTTACTAAATTCTTAGTAATCAATGAGATAACTTTTTCTTGAAAAAATTGCATAATATTCTTCAGAATGCTGACATCAAGAAAAATATTATTATTCAAGGCATCTCCCACAAGATAGGATTGTCCAATCCAAAGTTGAAAAGAAGCCTAAATAGGAAGGCATCCTCCAAAATTGAAAGGAAGACTAAATAGAAAGGCATCATGTACTAGCAACATGAAACTCAATATTCAAGATTAAATTCAAGTGCATTATCATTTTAAATTCAACATGATCATCAAAGCTCAATCTCATTCAAAGCATCAACAATAAATCATTGTATTATCATCTTCAAGGATTCTCGAACCCATTTAAGGTATGTGTTTTTTATTGTTTATGGCATGCCCTAACATCTTTTACATCTCGATACTCAAACAAGTGAAGCATCTAGCTGGGGGGGCAACAGTTCTGGAATAATATTTTAGGTGCAAATCCAAAAGCCACTTATAAATGCTTCACCATGAATAAAACACATCTTTCACTCAACAATAGATGTGCTGATATTTTTCTGCTTCTCTGCAACTTTATCTCAAGCCACCTACACCAAGGGCCAACTTTATTGCCGGATAGCTTTTCAAGTTGTACGACAAATTTTTTATTTTTATTTTTTTTGGATTTCTCAACAGTTCATATATTATTTAATTAATCCAGTTGAGCAAGTCACACGGGATTATAAGGGCGATAATGCTCTTCCTATTAAACTTTTAATACAGCTATACATTTAAGATTCAAAGTCGAGACTAAAATTAGAATACCTTCTAAATGTTGATGTAAATGATTGGAGGTAAATATCTTCTATATAAGCTCTAAATAACTTTTTCAAAATCCATAAGAAAATAAAAAAACTTACCTAAAGGAAATATGATAGGAAGCCATCCTAGGCCCATTAGACAGCTATTTTTTTATTCGTAATATTAATAAATGGCTAATAACTTTTGCCGCCAGGGCATGCCGTTTGCAGCATCAAATAAGAAGGATAGGATAGGATAAATTATCATATACTATTCTTATCAATTGTTTGTTGAGCACAATGGATAGCATAAACTTATCAGTTTGGCTTATGTTATCCTATTGAAAGCCCGATAAGTTATCTTGAAGGGGACCTTGGGTTAGTATTTGATCGGATAGGGAAAAAATAAAGCTTTATTCCAATGCATCCCTCGATGCTCATTTCTCCTTTGTCACAAGATAGCCTTCTCACCGCGTACCTCCATTCTCATTCTTATTCTCATTCTCGCTCGTTGCATATCCTTTCTCTCTCTCTCTCTATGTTTTCTCTTTCTTCTTTTGATCTAAATCCTCTTCTCTCTCTACTAGCCTCGTTGATTCATATATTATTTTCATTTCACATCCTATTTCAAGGGAATTGTGTTGCATTTTTTTGTGATAGATTGCATCCAAATTGCACTCACCTTTGAAAACTCTTGCTTTTCTTTTTCTTTCTCAATTTTTTTATCTTTTGGTTCATGTCACTATAATTCATTGATTTTCAGGTGCTGAATTATTGATCAGAAGGTTTTGATTAACAGTGCTTCGAATTTAATGGGTGTGAAATTTTTTCCTTTTTTACTTAAAAAAACCACTCCCCGTTAAACCCGACTAGTGAGTGTGGGGTGGAGGTAATCCTTGTACGTAGCCTTATCCTTGCATAATTGCAAAGAGCTTGTTTCCTGGATTCAACCAATGACCCTTCACAATTAGGAGAGGGTGGTGTTGGTTGTGAAGGTACACTACATGTTTGAGTGTTAGGGAGGGGTCCTCTGCTCTGTTGTGGAGGATATACTTTTCAAAAAAAATTAGAAATTTTGAATAATTAAAAATAGAAGTTAATGTATAAATAAGTTAAAAGAAAAAAAATAAAAAGTATATAAAATTATGCTATAAAGGATATTTTCGTCTATTTATATCATATCCTAGCGCTATCTGGTTGACTTCAAACACATAATAGGATAATATAATTATGTCAGACGGTCTTTCTAGTGTACATCAAACACAGTAAAGGATATGAGCTTATCATGCTCATATCATATCCTACCTTTATCCCGTCCGCTTATCCTATCTGTCCTTATCATATCTTGTCCATCAAATGACCCTTAAAAGTTTAGACATGCTTGAAAAATATATCAGGAACCTATCCGATATCATTTTTTTTATTCGTGGTACCGATAGATGGCAAAAAAAAAAGGAAATCATTTTATATAAATACAATCAAATCTGCTAGATCCGATATAAAAAATTTTATCAAAGAATGTTAATTTAGATTTTTTTTTAAAAAAGAAAGTATATTATTATGAGATAAGATCCGTTTACAAATTTTTTTTGCAAATTACACTAAGTACGACCGGTCGTACACTGCATGATTAAAGTAGAACCGGTCGTACTTAGTGTAGTTTGTAAGAGTTTGTAAACAAAAAAGTTTGTAAATATAACCTGCCCCTATTATTATATACTAAACCAGTATAAGAAAATTTTGTTACTTTTGTTGTTGCGACTTTGAGTTCTATAATAATTAAAAGGTTGTAAGAAATCAAAGGGTAAGACAAATGGTACAAGGTAAATTTGATTGAATTTACAATTATTTATCCATATTTAATGGTGGTAGTTGTCCGTATCACACTTCTGAAGAGTTATAACAATATTAATTCTTAGTGGCTCCTGTTATACGAAAATTTGACAGTTAGTAAGAGCTTTAGGGTATTGTACTGAAAAATAATGTGGATATTTGAAATTTTAAAGTCTAGCGGCAGGGACATTCAAAATTATTAATATTGAAAAGATCTAATAACCACAAATTAATTAATCTGCGTTTGAATCCTAAGATCACTTGGATTTGGTAGCCATCCGTGCAATGAGTTATTGTGCTTTCATCCATGCATTTAGCAGTTTCATTGCTTATTCCTAATTAGCCATTTGATTTATTCTACAAAATTTAAAGAAGAAAAAAATAACAAGTGCACAATGTTATTTTTCCAGCATCCTACTAAGCTTGACGGATCGATAGAAGAAGCAGCACAAATACTTGCAGTGGGGTGATAATTCAGGTCCACAAGACAAGAATTTGACACAAACACAAATATACTTAACACGAATTATACAAATTTAAAATCGGGTTATAACTTTCGACACAAATTCGACTCGCTTATTTTGCAGGTTGATATGATACTATAAGATATAAATAATCTATAAGAAGAATAACACATGTCAATTTCAGGTTCACGGGTTGAAAAGTGATACTACAGGTGATACGACACCAATTTTTTCCAATTTTTTGGTGGAATGGTTCACACATCACTTTATTTTGCGTCACTTTTCTATTTTAACCTATACATGTATTTTGCACAAGAACTTAACTAAAATGTGTATTCTCATACAAAATTAAAGTGATGTTAAACAAAAAAAATGTGAAAAATCATAATCACTTGGTTGTAATATGCTTCCACTCTTTCAAAGATAAGCAATTTGCATGGAAATTCAATCCGTAAATGGTTTGGTTACATACATGAGAAACAAGGGTTACACAATCTCAAATTGAAACTTTCTATGCTCTTTCCGTGAAAGGGTTAATCTTGATAACCAAGCCAGGGAAAACATCATCAGGGTCGTGGATATGTGGATTCTCTTCAACAATATAAGGATCCCCACATTTTTCACTGATTGTGTGAAGGGTCTCTCCCTCACGAACCACGTATATCTCATCACAACCAATGTTGTTGTTGTTATTGATATTCTTTTGCAGCATCTGAACCCTGAACTCATTTGTGCTTGACTCACAGCTGCTCAACACCAACATTAGTGCCACAAACAGAGCACAGTTCCAAGAAATCTTCTCTGCCATTGCTCTTGAAGTACACCCACAAGCCATGTCTGAAATGATCCCTCTCACGATGACAATGCCATATCCTTGGTTTTGGAGGAATTATATATAGATATAGACAAAATGAGAAAGGAGTTTCCTCTCGCTGGTTGGTGGGTGGGTATAGTTCTATGTGGAGGTTGAAATGGCTCCTTCAGCAAAGTAGGTAACTGTCAAGTGCACAAAGAAAGTTGGTTTAACTGCTTTATTTAATGGGATTGGTATTGGTTTTGACTTTTCTTTTGGGCAAGGCTTTTCTTGTAGTGAGTGTACCTTTACTGCCTCTATTTCTACATATAGACTACTCAATACACAATATGATGAGGTGCCTCTTTTGATTTAGAAGAATTTGTGAATATTAAGAGCATTTTGCTATGTGTAACAAAAGGTTGAGGCAGAACATGTAACTATTGTTAGAAGGCATAATTAATATTTGGTTGTGCCTGCCGAAATGGCTGGTAAGGTGTGGATGATCACAAATAATAACCATACAAATTGTATGTCAAACTTAATACAAAGAACATTCAAGAACTAGATATACTCCTAGATATAAATAACACCAACAATTCTCAACTGTAATTGTGCACTGATTGATTTGAAAAAGAGAGAAGTCCTAAAAGCAATGAATTACACCTACTCCAGAACGACATGTGGATGTCTTAGGTTAAATGTTTCAAATGATCATCGAAACAGATACTTGTACGAGTGGAAGATAATGTAGTTGAGGTAATATACATTTAATGATATTCTGTCAATAAATGATGTACCTAAAATATCCTCAACTTATAAATATAATATTTTTTTTATCTTGGAATTGAATTCTTTGTGATTAGAAGGTCATATGTTCGATAGTTGAAAATAGTCTCTTTGCAAAATACCAAACTAAAACTACTTACAATCAAATCAACCATCATCCCTATCCTTACAAATTGAAGAGTCTTGTATATTAGGATTTTCACTTTATAATATATTTTTCTCAGCATATCCTCCCCTAGAGTCTAGGAGATAGTTATAATTAAAGCCCATGAATTGAAAATTGACTTCAGAGCCAAATTATTTTTCATTTTTATAATATATCACTAAATAATTAAGGGTTACTGTCCGTCTAAATTATTATCTTTTGGTTTCTGTGCATTTTAAATCTTGCATTCTAATGTTGTCATGATTTGCTAAGTTGTGGATGGTTGGTTTCCCGCGCTCATTTTTATACTTTAAGTTTAAAATTTGTTTTACAAATTAGTCGCTCTCAAAATTGCTATCTTCTGTAAGTTATCAATTAAATAAATATTATTAGAGAATCCTATGCATAATAAGAATAAGCTAGCTTAAGATTTCAATGTCATGAAATCTACCAAGAAGAAAAAGAAAACAAAGAAGCGCAATATGAACTTCAGTGAATTAGTCAAATCATAGATAATTACAAATAAGCATGAGAGAGGTTTACACAGGAGAAAATGACGTTGATGCAATGCCAAGGCTGAGAATTAATTATGAAGATGACCACTAAGGTATTGAATCATTTTCTTCAAGACTCCAACAAACAATCCAAGAGTCTTAATGGAAAAGCCTAATCCGAGGAAAATAATTGTTGGCTATTGACAGTAAAAGACAAGGTTCTGATGCTTAGAAAGCACATCTTAAAAACTTATGAAAGGTGAAGTATTACTCCTAATTATTATAAGGGATGCTTATGAAATAAATTTCCTAAGTAGAAGAGCAAAATGAAAATTGGTCTTGAAAATAGAATTTCGTTGTAAGCATGTTTCATAATAACAAAATGATATATATGATTTAATTTTCGTATATAATTAAAGCAAAACCATACTGTACATCAAGAGTGTTAAAGGAAATCGGCAATATCACCTTCCTTGGTAATCCAAAAAATAGTATTTATAATGCAATACAAGAGTGTTGAGTATGTAATAAATTGGAAGCATCAAAAGCTGATTTGAATGATCATAAGCACGTTCATATATAGATGCCAGTTACAAAAGATGAGAATTACACGAGATGAGAAAATAACACCTAAGGCATACAATAAATGCTATAATTATATGAGATAAGAATGACTACTAGAGTTACATATGTACAGATAAGAACAAAATTATTCAAATTCAAATCTGCTCAAATCTAATCTTGTTCCCAACCATAAGTGTGAGCTTGAATTCTTATCAGAGAGTTTATCTGGGTTTTTTGATGATGATGGTGTAAGCGCTGAGAACATTGTTGCATTGTTGGATTCTTGTTCCCGCACAATATCACTCTGCATTGTGTGTGCTGCATTTTGGAAGTATCAGTTGTTGTTATACTTGCCTCTGCCACATGCTCTTTTGAATCTGATCACCTTGAGGCTTTTTGCAACAGTGCCTTCTATTAAAGTAAATCTCCAAGTAAACAAATATAAACAAGGAAGGTTGAGAATTACCACACGTGCAAGTATACACGATCAATAAGTAATATAATGTGTGAGATTATTTGATCGTTCCCTCTAGGATTTATATGAAAGTGTAATCAATGAATTTTCTCAAGATCAATTGGAGAAACATGAACTAATGTATAAGGAAATCAAGATAGCACTAAATGAACTGAATACAGAGATGAAATGATGTAAAAAGAGCTACTAGTTCGCAGAGAAGCTTGTATTTACTAATGAGAGTCCAGACCTGAAATATCACCCAATCACCTTATTTTTCATCATTGTTCCATAACCTGCTACAGCACCTTCCCTAAGCAATTGATCTTCTACAGCGATTCTGCACTTTCCAGCATCAAAAACCTATGTTCAATTATGATTTGCATTATTCCTAATCCAAAAGCATCACCAAACATCATGAACGTCTAGATCTGAGTTCTACGTAATTGATTATCCCTAACCTAATTACGCAATGCTTAAGAGTAGTTTGAATTATTGTTTTCCAAGACTAATTCTTTGTAACTCAATTAAATTGATCAGGTTTAAAAGAGTTTAGAGTTAATTCCTCTTAAACAACTTAGATCTGGTTTTATATCAGAATTTCAGTCACACTTCAAGGTGATTTTCAGACATTTCAGATCTGGTTTAGAAGATTAGCTATCCATGAATGCAAAACACAAATTCACATATTGAATAACACTTTCCATAATACTTGGGAGAATTCAGCAGTACACGAATGTGATAGCCTTTTGACCGTTATGACCTTTTATTAATAATTAATTACCAAATTGACCTTCATTATAAACTATTTCAAAAATTTAACCCCCTCAAAAAATATAACACCAATCCTGTTTGACCGTTGACCACCAAGCCTACTCGGGTACACCCCTCTCTACGCGGGTATTTTTTGAAATTTTTTGCTTACCCGGATAAGGAGGGGTGTACCCAGGTATTGTTCTTGGCACTTGAGAAATTGCTTGAATTATTTACCCGGGTAGGAGGGGGTGTACCCGGTAAATCTCCACATCTTGCTGGGAAATTGCTTGAATTTTTTGCCAACGTTTCCTTTTCTTCCATTTCCGGTGGGAAGAACTACTTCTGTGGCATCAGGTCCGGTAACTCTAGTTTGTATTGTTGGGACACTGTCTCTTCCTTCAAAAGGAAAAGACTTTACAACAATGGTTCTGTTCCATTGGAGAATCTTGCTGTTGGGGATGCTCAAGTTTGCACGACGGTGGTACGTGATGGAACGGTGAGGTGTTGGAGAACCAATGACACGTTTCAATTGCCATCTGGGTCTGATGAATTTGCTTCAATTTCATCTGGGTATGGCTTCTCTTGTGGAATTCTGAGGATTGGTTCTTTGGTTAAGTGTTGGGGAGATATGGATATTGCGAGTCAGATAGAGAATGAGTTTGGAAACATGTCCATGTTGAGTATTGTAGCGGGTGGTTCACACGTTTGTGGGTTGAATTCAACTGGGTTTTTGGTATGCAGAGGGAGTAATAGTTTTGGGCAAGTGAATGTTCCCCAAGGTGGGGCTTTTGAGTTTGGTGGGTTGGCATTGGGAGCTGAGCATGGTTGTGCAATTAGAGGCAAAAAATCCGTAGTAATGTTATTTTTCAAATGTATCTCCATCCTAAAACATATTTGAAAAGAATGGCCATATTAGAGCAGTCAAACACGTAGGTTTGACTGACGAGATAAGTCCCGCCAGTGAGAAAGACGAGATCAGAAGCCACGTAGGAAGCTCAACCAATCGCGTCAGTCCATGTCACGTGTTTTCCACGTATCCCGCCACCTGCTGTGACATGTACCAGTCCCGCCATGTCAGTTGGCGAGACTAAGCCATGTGTGTGACACATCCGAAGTTCTTGTGACGTGTTCCAGCCACCCCAAATACTAATAAAAACATGAATTACTATTAAATCATGCCAATTACATTAATTATATTGTCCTAAAGCATTTTTTGCAACATTGTAATGTTAATAAATTATTTTGTATAAAACATTTAATAGCATGAATAATATTTAACTAATTCAATAAATGGTAATGGCTATTTATTTACTTTTTTAATAGTTATTAAATCAACTTAATATGTTTTTTCTTAGGTTTTATTCATTAACATGAGATCTGCAATTATATAATTATTAAAAAAATTATTACGATTTCAATAATTAATAATTGTAATTATTATAAATATATTGAATCTAAATTACTATTTCAGATTAATGTTTATAATTTTGAATATTAACAACTTAGTTTTCTAACATGGTTTTTAAAGCATTGTAAATTTCAATATGATTACTATTAATCAGGTCACTAATTAAAATTACAACATAATTATGACATTAATCACTGTTTACCAAAAGCCAAAATTACATTGATTAATAATTATCTTAGGAATAATTTTTTGATGCCTACTAAGGATTCCAAAATTATTTTTCTTAATTAATGCAGAATATTTGAAAAGGGCTTTAATGACATGATTATTATTTAATTATTAAACTAATGATGACTAAGTTAACATAGGCAGGTTTGTTATAATTATTATATTTTATTAATATTAATATTTATTTTATTTATTAATTACGCAAACAAATGGGCCACTATTTACTAATTAAAAAAAACAAATTTACTAATTAAAATTGCATTTACTAATAATTATTAAAAGAACCATTTCATTTTATTTGTTATCAGTTCCTTTCATGCCACCGTGTTTGGTCGGCAAAATATTAATGAATTTTTAAATGCTTAATTAACTTCCTCTGCATCATTTTTATAACTTCAACAACCACAAAAAAACTTCTGCAACTATCAAGGAAGAGCTTGAAGCCATAGCATCAATACTTGAACAGTAATGGCAACAATAGGAAGAAAGAAGGGAGTTCTCATATGTACAGTCACAGATCCAAAACATATGTAGAGAAATAGCTGGGAATGTGAACTTTATTGATGTTCCCCCTGCAGTTATAGAGTCATTTTTAAAAGGGTTTTTTTTTGTAATTTTAATATTTTTTCCTATCACTATTTTATCTTCAACCAAACACAGATTCAGAATTTTCACTCAATTTGTCCGGTAAAATTTTTTCTAGCCAAACAACTTTTTTTACAGTTTCCTATCAAACTCACCTTCCTACCATTTTCCTATCACTTACATTTCCCTAGTATTCAAAAAATCTCTCCTTATCCAAACGCCAGCTTAGTTGTTGCTTCAAGCTTCCAAATCTCAAAGATAAAACCAAATTACGAAAGGAAAATACGAAGAACCTAAAAAGAAAGAAAGTTCAATTTACAAATTACAACTCAAATGCTCCCAAAAGGTAAAAAAAAGTACTCAGATAATCACAATAATGGTTTAAAAGTTACAAAATGACAAAATAACAAAAACTCCTCGAGTTCCCGCTCCTTGTCTTATTTATATCATCAGTTTCCCATTCAAAATTTCATCGAGCAAGAGTTATGCTACACCCCTTGCAGTCCCCACAGCTCCTTTAACTTTCCACAGCATCTTTCTTTATTTGCTTCTTTCAGACGTCACCTGCACACGAAATTTTTGTTACTTTTCACGATACAATGTATAAATTGACCTAAGCATTGTTTTTATACACTAATCAGATTTCTTCACATTTTATATCCGAACTCTACTCTTTACTTAACACATATATACTTTTCAACTATTTTGTTTATACCAATTGCAGCTTTTTAATATAACTGAAACCAACCCAACACCTTCCATTATGCGTGTTTATCATGAAGCGTTTTTTGGATCTGGGCTCTTATATCATAATAAATTGAAAGCATCAAAAAGCTGATTTACATTATCATGAGCATGTTCATATGTAGACGCCAGTTACAAGAGATGGGAATTCCATGAAATAAGAATGACACCTAAGGCATACAATAAATGCTATAATTACACGAGATAAGAATGACACCTAAGGCATATATTAAATGTTGACAACTAGAGTTACGTATGTACAGATCAAAACAAAATTATTCAAATTCAAATCTACTCAAATCTAAACTAATCCTAATAATATGTTGGAAAGTAGCAAAAATTGGTTCATGTATGTTGTCTTTGTAATAAATGGATGTTTTGATAGATTTTCTTTCTAATATGAGGGTTTTATTTGCGGCTTTATCTCTTGTTGTTTTAAGTGTAGATGCTACATTTTGAGTCTCTCTATGAATGTTCCAGGTCTAAATCCATGTTTTGTTCACCTATCCTGATCTCGTTTGATGGACTTGATCTGAAATCTGAATGAAAGGAATATTTGTTTGTTTGCTTTTTTTTATTTTTTATAAACTATGGATTTTCTTTTTATTCTAAAGTGCAAATAGCTAGTTGCAATCTATTTTCTTTTTTATGGACTATCTTTTGGAATGTCATGGTGCTCACAATCTATTTAGTTTTATTCAAAGTCCTACACACACAAAAAAACCATGTAACCGGTTTCTTTATACCTATTAAATAACATATTCAACTTGTTCACTTCAAGGAGAATATCTTTGGTACTATAGATGCACCGAAAACTCAGTGCATCTTCTACTCATACTATGACACGTGTTTTACTTTATATCAAATCACTCTCTCTTGATTTTAAAATACATTATTTATTATTGATTTGACAAAAGTAAGACAAGTGTCATAATATAAGTGGAAGATATCCAAATTTACGGTGCATCCATATTACCAAAAGAAATTTCCCACTTCAGGACCTTTAAAATTGTTAAGTTGTGGACATAATTTTGCATAGTGTTGCAGAAACGATGCATAACTTAATGTTTTGCATATTCTGTCACTTATTTAGTCTTTGTCATACTGTTACCAATACGACAATATTCTGTATGCACTGTAATGTCATTTTTATCAACATTGTACCTATTCTGTATGTTTGTGGGACCTCCTACAGGGAAAAATTTAATATACTCCAGGTTCACCATTTATTCAATGGTCTCTTTTTATAAATAAAAAATTTTCTTCCATTCCTACCTTTTTCTTTTTGATTTTTTTCTCCTCCGTCCCTCTTTTTTTTCCATTTCGAGGAAGGACCACCATGGTCCCGACCATAAAAAATCTTATCATATCTGCCAATATGCAACGTCTGTCAAAAGAAGAGGGATAAATCTTATTTCTACAATAAGTCCAAAGATATTAGTTATTTAGCGATAAATTAATGGTCAACAATTAAAACAATAAATTTTAATTCTACACTTTATAATTTTTATTTATTAAAATTGTGACCATTATAAATACATGAAAATGTTCACATAATATCAATGGTAATATTAAAACAATAAATGAAAAGATCCATTCCGATCCCACTAACAACTCTCTTCTCATTGTTGCAATTTTCATTTGTTTTAGATGTGCATTTGTATTATTGTCTGAGCTCATTTATGTGCCTAGGCAATAAGTTTAAGTCATGATTTAAGTAAATATATTATTTATATGAATATGTGCTCTCTCTTTTTTAATAATACTAATCTTTAATTAAAAAATTGAGTCACAATTCCTGAAAATTATGAAAATATATAAATCTGAAATTGAATTGACACCGGTTAATATATCTAAGTAAAAAAAATCGAAGAGTGATTATGTAAGCTCGAAGTGCTCATTGTTTAGTATTGCTCGTTAGTTCTACACGACAAGAACGTGAAGAGGGTGCAAAATATTTTTGGGGGTTGATCTTAGGCCACTGACGACAACAAAACATAATTCATCAGATAACACTTTTAAAAGATGAGTTATAATCTGAATATTTTGAGAAGTGCATATTTAAGTAGTTAATAGTTGTTTACCAAAAAAAAAGTAGTTAATAGTTAGGGTTAAGCCTTTTATAAATATTTGTTTTCAATTTTTGTCAGCTACTACAAATCATTAAATATTAATGAAAGTTAACCAATCAACAAATTTGCTTTTTCAATAAATGAATTATGAAATTTAATTTTGATAAATTTTGCTAATAAATTTTCGTAATAATATTATCGTATTATGTACTTATAAATCATTAAAAGAATTTTATTATCACAATCAATATTTCAAAAATCAAATTCTTTTAATCAACCTTTTGAATAATATGTCAAAATATTATTAGATGGCAGTATAAAAAAGATTTTATACTTGATTAAAGTTCTAACTCAAAATTAGATCAAGTCACATATCATATTAGCAAGTGATGGCATATTAACAAAGATTATTTAAATTTATCACTATGGGAAAATGAAATTAATCAAGGATCAGATTCAGCTTCTTTTTTATGGTAACCAAAAAAATGTGAAGTCATGTGCTTTTTGAAAACAATTTTCTGCCTGTTCCGTGCTAAAGATGACGTCGAGAAAAGAATTACATATATTGTGGGACCCTTACAGTGTCATAAAACTGAATGAATTTCAAATTGAGACATGAAAGCATAGAAAATGGTTGTCCATCTTTGTGTGAAGTTTGATACAAATGAAAAAAATTAGAGGGGTAAATACGTTAAGAGGGCCTATTAGAGGCTTAATGCATGCCCTTAACTTAATATATGTTTAGCAAAATAAAATAAATTAAAATTTATTACAAAAAAACCTACTTAAAATAAAGGTTACATGCTTATATTTAAAAAATTTGATCTATAAATATATACACAGAATTATTATATTATATATTTTAAATAATGCGAATGTTGAAACTTGATAGGCTAACTACAAGAAAAGTTATTGCATATATATTTGAGGATTCTCTGTCTAATTGAGAAAGTGAATAATAGTACAAAATGTCCCATGACTTTCTTACAATTAACTGTCCAAAATAAAAGGGAGCAAAGCTTTCATAATGCCTGTATTTTAAGACTCAAACGTAGACCGTTTTTAGAACAAACACAAGTTCCTTGCCACTAGAATCGACAAGAATTAGCATATAATTTACTTAAAGATATTACACATTTCTTTTATAATTTTACATATTTGTCGCTTAAACATGTTTCTTAGAATTTATATTTTTTTTTATATTTTACCTAAATTTAAAAATATTTACACAATGAACGGAATTCATATAAATCATGATTCCCCTTATATGATTTTCTGCAATGCTTCAAAATTCAGACCACTGCTCATGAACTGCTAAATGGAATGCTCAGAAACAGCCTCAAAAAAACAAGATCGTCCTAAGAACAAGAGAAAGGCACAAAACTTTGCAAATCAAGCTCCACACGAAATACAAAATCAGCTTGTATGCACATGAGAAGAACAAGCAGATTAAAACAAAACTAAAAAATAAAAAAATGCTGACAAGTTGAATAGCATGAGTAATGCACTCATAAGTCCTAACAACCCTCTAATATGGAACGAATTAGGTCAAACAAGTTTGATTGGAAAAGTTGGGCTTCAACATGAGAATTTGAGGGCAAGAATTAGCATTTCCAAACAGTACCAGTCAGAGAGTCTTATAACATTATGACAACGTGACATGCAGACTTAAATGTTCATCAGGATCGACACTCCACAAGTTTTGGCTTTCCACTTAGACAAAGGAGTTGATCGAAGTTGAACTTCTATCACGTCACTCAGGAATCAGGATCGAAGAAATAAAGGCATCACTTCATGCCACAATTTCGGTGTTAAGTGAACTCCCTTTAAAGCATTTCTAGCTCTGCAAATCATGTGGCCTGACGAATAATGGATATAGATGCCATTTATATTTACAATGTAAAATTGCAAACATGTATATCTGTTTGGTTTATTATAAAATTCAATTACCTCCATTGCTGCATAAATCATAAATACAGCACGTATCTCATGAATTTTTAAGGTTGGGAGAGCCAATGACATTCAAGGATGTCTTCGCCTGGCTACCCTTTGCACTACCAGATGCCTGGCCAGCAGAGCCCTTAGTATGTGCTGCCTCAGTTGTTATCATTGATTTCTTTATCTGCCAAGAGTATTACAAAGATAAACAAATATATGAAAAAATAATAACTACCATCATCACAATGATAATAACAACAAAACTATACATTTACCAAACAATGGTTAAGAAAATTAAAAAACACACACATTGGCATATCTAGGGCAGTACAAGAAGTCTATTGGCATGTATTTATGTTAGCAGAAATGTGCAATTACATGCGCCTTAGAGATACGATACAACTAACAGAATAAGAAGAGGAAGAGAGACCAAAACTTACAGCCGCTAGACGCTCCTTGTGAATATCACATGTAAGCTGCAAAACCATCACAAAGTACAAGCCAAGAATATGAAATTCAAAAGAACATAAACCAAATTATATAAACTTAAAAGCAAAGATGTAACAGACTGAAAATTCTCACCTGTCTTTTGAAGCCTTTAATCTCATCACCACCAAATCCAGGAAGTGTCATATTCCAATTTTTCTCTATAAAGATGCAGATATAGAGTTGAGAGCAAAATGTGCTGACAATAAAATCTGAGCATGGAGAATATTATCAGTAACTAACCAAGATGTAAAAGTATGTCCTTCGCTTCCAAAGTCGTCGATTTCCGATGCTTGGCAAGTGAGCAACCCGATCTGGTTATCTATTTACAGGATGATAAAAGAATGGTCACTATTGAAAACAATGTAATACAAGTATAAAGAAAAAAACCATAATAAAGTAATTGTGAGCTTAGTTCATTTCTATACATCTTAAACACCGTCACAAAAGAAAATAGTTCATCGGAAAGAGAAAATCATAAAACAAGACAATACCAATTATTTGGGGCTTAAATTACCAACAACCAATAGGTGAAAAACAAACAATTATAATCATTGAAAATAAAAAACTCTCTTCATAACAAACATGGCTTTTTTTATTTTTATTTTTCAAATGCCTTTAAAAGCCAGTACAAACTTACATATATATAGGGGTAAGATCAACTAACATCGGTTACGAATAATAAGTTTTACACTCAATCTTAATCGTTGACCTACTTGCATCTAACGACTCTATTTATTAGCCACATGAGCCATTAGATTCATATTGGGATCAACGACAAAGATTGATAGTGTAATTTACACTAGTGTGAAGTGATTTTGCCCTCTAATGGCTTAAAATTATCTAAATTAATGAAAATAGAGAATACTAAACCCAAAAATTTATATAAGGACGGAGAATAGAGAAATATAACTTCTGTGAAGAGATATTTTGATTATTGACTCTAATTATTAATTTAAATTTGGGAAAACTTCAAAAAAACCCCTGTAAGTTTCTTCAGAATCACTTACCCCCTTTCCCAAAAAATTTAATCATTTACACCCCTACTTAAAACTTTTTTATCACTTACCCCCCTAACTTGATTTTCCATCCAAGTTAAAGTTAACGGAATTAATTTTTTTTAAAAATACCAAAATTATCCTTAGAGAAAAGTAACACACAACACTGGACCTTACTGCTGGCAAGAGATAGTCATTGAAGAGTGGAGCCCTAATCATTTTGACGCTCCACCGCCCTTACTTCTGATTAGCCGGTAGATGCTTATATAAATAATTCATAGGTCTTCTTCAAAGAATGTAATGGAATAATAGATTCACAAATACTTCTTGAGCTTATATCTTTTATAAGCGTAAGCGTCTCTTTAATTAACGTTGGATTTTGGACATTTGCCCCTAAACATTTAGATTGATGTACCCTTTCTAACTAAAAAAAATGACCTTCATTTCAATATATAAGATTTTAATTTAAAATTTGCTCTTTCGAGTATAGGAATTGTAAATTAATTAAGACCACTAGATGAGTTTGACGAAATAGCATAATGTTGAATTATTTGGAAACTTCACTATTAAATTATTTAATGGTCTTTTCCACCTTACTTGCTGAAAGTATTTACCCCTTTGGTCCTTTAATTAATATATGGAAGCATTGAAAATTGATTCATTTTTGACAAACGAAAGGTAAAACATATAGTGGGGCTAAAAAAAAAAATTACAAGATAACAAAAAAATCCATGTGGGTAGTTTTCTGCAGATCATTGGATACCTCCAGCAACGATAGGGAAGAAAGTAAAGTCTATATGTAATGTGTTATCTCTTGCTAGCAATAAGGTGTTTAGTTAGTGTAGGGGTTAATTCCTTTTTTTGTTTAAGGATAGTTTTGGTATTTTTTTTAAAAATTAACTCCGTTAACCTTAACTTGGATGGAAAATCAAGTTGGGGGGGGGGGGGGGGGGGGGTAAGTGATAAAAAAGTTTTAAGTAGAGGTGTAAATGATTAAAAATTTTGGAGAGGGTGGTAAGTGATTATGAAGAAACTTATAGGGAGGTTTTTGAAGTTTTCCCTTTAAATTTTAAAATAATGTTATTAAAAATATTAAACATGGAAACTTAAATTTTCAGAAATTCAATAGTCGTTTTTCGTTAATTTATATGTTGAGTTTTAGTTTTTACCGAACTACTTTACTTAAAATTGTTAGAAAAATAAAATAAAAAAGTTAATTATATATTATTTTAAAATTAATGTGTAGAATCAATAATCAAAATCTCTTTCTTCATTAAAATTATATTTAATTATTCTCTCCACTTATCAAGGGGGTAGAATCTATTAAATTAGATGATTTAGAACCATCAGATTAAAATAAAATCAATAGGTTAATATTGGCGTAGGTAGATTTCTTACAGACGATATTAATTACTTTAACCCAGGATAAAAAGACAAAAATAGACTACTACATGAAATGCATATTTCCAGCAAATATTTATCCGATTGTTCTAAACAGAGTAGAAACAGACTGATAGTCAATTAATAGCCAGTTCTAAAATTGCTGAACCAAAAGAATTAAAATCACATTTCACCAATGTAGAAGCAGCAGAAAAAGAATGTATGTCAATCAGAAACATGGCAGAAGAAAATCTTTCAATATGTGCTTCTCTACTTTCAAATTCAAATTAGAAGACAGGCTAACTAAAACGCATTTATCATACAAACAAAATAAAAAGGTATTACACAACTTATTTTGCAGGTAGGTGTTCAAAAAACAATAACAACAGCAACAATGCTATGCTTAGAAATATCTCTAAGTACAGTAACTCATGGTTCAAAATAATAAATGAGAAAATAAAAAAGCTTTGAGAAAAACCAAAAACAAAATAAATCAAAACAAAATAACAGATAAATTTAACAATTTTTATCAAAATGCAAAAATATAAACAATCAGTCCATTGAACATAATAACACTAAATGAAAACACTCACAGTCTCAAGAAAGTTTTCTGCAATATCCACAAGAATGTCTGCAACTGCAGGATCCAACTTCTCCAATGGATCAACCTGCCAATAAAGCAGAAATGTAAATATAGGACAAAAAATAAACATATTATATGAAAATAGGGCTGTGACAAGCTCACAGAATCATAGCAAAATCATCAACTTTGAAACACCTTATGCCATATTAAGCAAAAGAGGGGAAAGGTTAACAGTCAGCAATTAAATGGTTCTAGAGTAAAGGCACTGCAGGGAAGGATGTATGTTTCTTTGTCATATATTCAGTAAGCTAAAAAGTTTTCAGGAATGCATTTGAATGTAAAATACATAATTACATTTGATAAAAGAATTGTGGTAGCTTAGATTGATATACCAAGTACAATTGGCAGTAACTAGATAAAGATAACAATTTACCATAATGGGTAAACATCTATCATAATCATAAACTACAAACAAAGGAGAATTAATACATAGCGCACACCTATATTGGTTAGCTCAGAAACATCAAAAGGATCAAACCTACAAAAAAACACATACTCTAGTAATCCAAACTATTGAGTTATTTGTAGCCAGAAAACATTACTCAGTTACTGTTGTAAATTTTTCTCACACTTCTCAAACACTTAATTATTTAGATTAAAGTAAATATTGAAATTTTTGCATTGATTAAAAATACAAAAAAATTACTACTTATATTTTAAGTTTGACCAGAGTGCAAGAGAGATTGTAAGAGAAGCAATCCTCTTTATTACCAGAAGGTTCAAATTCAAATTGCTAGGAAAAAAGCCAGAAGCCCAAACAGTCCAAAAGCATGTATAACTTTATATTAACATGATAATATATTAATATTATCAAGTTATCCTATTCATTCTATTATACATTATTGTGGATAAAAACTACCAAGCATTTGCCATAAAATTTTAGAAATGTGAGCAACGTATTTGACCAAACTGAGAAACCCATGAGAAAAAATCTATGACAATTCATTATAAATTACCATGTCACCTCTAGTAGTACAACGACATATAATTTATTTATTTTTTTAAAAAAAAACAAGGTGTCGGACATGACCTTTACTGTGGGAGGGTCAAAAATCGTAAAGTAGTATAGAAAGAGAACAGATTTATTAACAAACCAGTTCTTTATTAAGAACACCTTAGAACCTTTATAAAACCTAGATTACTAACTAAAGCAGCATTTAAACTCTTCTATAGTTCCTTTTAGACATTGATACAATATTATGGTACCAAGCCCAAAAGATCCAGTACAACTGTTAGGACAAACCACAAAGCCTAAAATCTAACCCGATTTATCTTAGTAGCTTTTTTTTTTTATGCTTATAAGCCATCATTCAATTCCTTACAGGTCTAGTAATGAATAGACCTCAGGAGAAACCAGAGTTCTTTTGAATTTCAACAGGTCACTTCAAATGGGAACTAATCAAAATTATTACTGCAAGCCTCTATATTTAAATTAACTGCCATTTTGTATAATATTACAAAGTTCCTACAAGAGACCTTCAGCATTCCTATTTGGACTACAAAATCCAGAGAATCACACAAGTCTATTCAACAATAGGTGCTAGGAATTAGAATCTGAGCCCAGTAAAACTAGTATGGACAATGATGTAGCGTGGCTCACCTGATTGACTAGCTCATGGATACTTCTTTTGCTGAGAATACTATTACAAGATTCTTCAGTATCTGCATTAACTAATCTACTTGGAATCCCTGGTTGAACTGCACTAGATTGTGCCACCATAAGAGATGAAGGTTTCTGATTTCCTGAGCCCTGTAGCCTTGTAACCTGTTGCTGGTGAGGCATATGCAGAGCCCTTGATGACGGAACTTGTTGCCCAAAATGCTCCTGCGATTGATTAGACGGCAAAGGTTGCTGCTGCTGCGAAGCTGTTGGCGTGGGTGGCTGCTGCTGCTGAGAAATATGTGACCTTTGCTGCAAGGATTGTGGATTCAATTGCTGCCTATAAGAAGGAGATGGCAAAGGCGGCTTCCCTTGTGGCCCAGCTGACAACCATGGCTGATTAAGTGACTGCATACTTTGTGATGCACTTGGAGATGGAGAAGCAGGTGATCCCACACCCACTGATGAGGATCTCATAAGCCCATGCCCTTGGAAGCTCTGAAGGAAAATGTAAGAAATTAGGAAATAACCTACATTTTTCCCCAAACATGTATTTTGTATACAAAGCATAAGCATTTCAGCATAAAACATAAAGTAAGCAAACCTCTTATACACATGTAACAACTGAAAATAAGAAATGCAAAATACATTTACATACTTACCAATCAACATGATACAATAAAGACCATAAGCTTATAAAAAAGAATAAAATTTTAACTTGCTTATTCCTTCACCATCCCTAAACTCTCCACAGAGAAACAAAAGCTGTTATCTTGAAAGTGAGAAGTGCACTACGTGTCCCACACAAGACTTGATGAAGTTTGATAATTATAGTCTCATTGAAGGCAAAAGAGTAAAACTCATAAACCCAATTTTTGGAAGCACTCTAAATATATTTTCAAACATATCCCAGTCCAGCAGAAATCCAATGACACTAGCCCTCCAACAAGGCCAAGCAGAAAATACTAAAATTCAGAAGTGAAAGGCACACACGAGCATACTCATAACATTCACTTTTACAGCAGCTATAGTAGATAGGAAGGAACAAAGTAAATCCAAATACTAACTTGTGAACCAGCAGGCTGATTATTTGGGACAGAGGATGGCGGTCTAAGAGAAGATTGAACGGGTCTCTGTTGATGGGCAGGTATTCCACCTGGCCGCATTTGAGAACTTGAACCCAAAGATCCTAACATACCCATTCCCTGCATGGGCGTTCTCACCTAAATGTAGCAAACAACTAGTGAAAAGGCATAAACAGTTACATTCATTCAAAAAGCTTCAAACATCAAAATGTTTAAAAAATAAATAAATTAAAAAAATTAAAAATGTTTACGGTGGATCGAATAAACACACGGTGAACCCCTACCTGAGAGGTGCTAGAATTGGAGGTAGATTCTGTGACGTTGACTCCGGTTCGACCCAACCCACCAAAATGCTGACCGAAAGAAGAAGAAAACGGAGGGGAAGGGCTCTGGTGGTGCGCGGGGACACCGATTGCCACGCCGCCCCTCGGCCCGGCGGTTGCACCGGAAATGGACGATGAGGGAGTGGACGGAAAAGAAGACGCCGGAGGAGCGGACGAAGGTGGGAGCGACGACATGTGCTGGAAATGGGACTGCGACTGCTGCTGCTGCGACGGCGGCGGCAAATTTCGGTTGAATGAAGGCGGAGGACGAGGTTGGGGAGGGGTTGCGATTGGGGGTTTGGAGTTTGGGTTTTGAATTGGGCTAGGGTTAGGGTTTGGGTTAGGGGAAGGATGGGGTGGAGCTGAGATAGGAGGGGTTGATGAGGAAGGTGGAGGGAGAGAAGATGGTGGTTGTGATGGTTGAGATTGTGAGGGTTCAGCGGCGCTTCGAGCGGTGGTGCCGGTGGCCGGAGCTTGAGGATCCATGGCATGGAGTTGCACAGCTTCTGAGAATGAGATTGAGACTTTGAAACAGAGCAACGTCACTGTGCGTCTGTGTATTTTTCGATTATTATTATTATTATTATGGTAGGTTAGCAATTTATGGGAACTTTGTAGTTTTCATTAATTTTATTTTTTTTATAAAGGCCCTTTTGTTTTAATTCAACGTTTTCTTTCCTAAAGAAATTGACTCTTGCTTTTAGATTGCGTTTGTTTAAAAAAAAAATATTAAAAAGGCGTTTTTCAATTAGGAAAAAAATTATTTAAGATATTTTTAGAGTGTTAGAGTAAAATTTTTAAAACATACGGATATAAAAAAATATTTTTAATCATTGTCAGAAGCTAACCATTAGAGGTGTTAACGGGCCGAGCCGAGCCGAGCTTTGGTCTTAAAAGGCTAAGCCTGTGTTTAAATATGTCATATCTGTTATAAATACTATTATAGGCCTCTGGCCTGGCTTATTTACATAAAGTAAAAGTCTGGTTTAGCCTATTTAAAAAAATAAAATAACAAAAAGTTTATCCAAACAAAATATACAATCAACAACCCTAGTAATTCCATAAATATCATAAATTCAATATATATCCAAACAGCATAATATAGAATAAAATCATTCAAAAAGTCTATTTAACCAATAAAATGGGGTGAAATAGATTGAGGAGAAAGAGAGTTTATTACAAGTAGTATAAAAAATATAAAAAAAAATAATAATAATATAAGAGGCCAGTCTGAGAGGCTCTAATGCCGAGCTTTTGAATTGGAGTCTGAAGCCTTTTTAATAAACGAGTTTTTATACAAGGTCAAGCCTGGTGTGAACTATGTGGCACCGATACGACACGCGACACGTGACACGACACGACACGACACTCCGACATGTCAATCTTAAAAAATTATGAATTTTGATACGTTGGGACACGTTTTAATATTAAATAATATTTTTAATTTATATAGTGTATATTTCATTTAATATTTAATAATTTAACAAAAAAATGAAACTAAATAATAATACCCATAAACACGTTATAAAGATGGAAGCTTTAATAAAAAAAATAAGAACTGAGATGAGAGAGAGATATATAATATCAGATAGAGAGATCAAATCATATTAGAGAGAGATCAGAGACAAGGAGATACAACAAGAGCGTGATAGGAATTGACAACAATGATGCTGAGATGATCTCTTATCTACTTAAGGGAAAAAAGATAAAAAAATAAAATTGATATCATCAGGTGGAAGCTTTATTAATATATTTTAATTTAAAAAAAATTAAAAATAAAATAAAAAAATTACAAAAATGCCATTTGACCGTGTCGGACAAGGTCAAATTTGCGTGTTAGAACGGTCAACGTGTTGGAAAAAGTTGACCGCGTGTCCGACATCGTGTCGGAGCGTGTCACCGTGTCGGAGTGTGTCAGACACGACTCTCCCTGTTTTTACAAGTGTTCGTGCTTCCTTAGTTGTGAACAACCAATTTTAGACATGTAAGCTCAGATATTCACGAGCCGAGCCAAAAGCCCTTGAAAGGCCTCTGACTAATTTACCACACTTACTAACCATGAGTAGCTTTTAGAAATTTTGGATACGCCAGATGATAGATCTTTATTTATAGCTTCTAGAAAATCACATACCAGAATTTATTCAAACTTACAGCTCTTTATGAAATTTCAAATTGATAGTTCTTACCTTTGACTTTTGACAGGTTGGTTAAAGGAAAATAATTATTGCATAAAATAATTATCTTATATAATAAAAATAAGGTAATGATTTACAAAAAAAAAAAAATAAGGTAATGAATTCATTATTTAAAAAAAAAAATTGATGCACTTGCAATAAATAAATGATATTTTAGATCGCACACCTTCACTTCACATGTATACTGATAATGATGAGTGCGTGATTCTAAAACTGATTGAGTAAAAATAACACCATATCTAAAAAATATAAGGTTAAACTTTAGCATATGCACTTGCAATTAATAAATGATTTTTTTATAAAAAATAAAATAAAAATAGTTCACTCCTCCGTCATCAGTTAACCACCATATAGGTTACTCTTCTTTGATGCTCTACTGTTAATTATGTGCTCACGAATTTAATTATTAGAAATGATGCCATTAGTGGGGATTCCAGGTGACTTTGATTATGTTAGAGCACCATAACTCGGACACAATCACACAGGAGTAAGGGTAATTGCAAAGATATTATAATGATCAAGTTATTCTCAACGTGAGATGGAAATAAGGATATAAATAAAAAGTGAATATAGCCAAGATAATATGTACGAGTGACAAAATGTGTTAGTGATCAAATTTTTGTCATATCAAGATTTGATCAGCAGGTGAAATTATTCAATTCAAACACGACAGGTATTTATTTACGGATAAAAATTCAAAATTGGACATCATTTGTCACAAGTTGCAAGATCACATGAGTTGATATGCAAAAAAAAAAAAAAAAAAAAAAAAAATTGATTATTTAAAAAAACTTGAAAATAACAATAAAATAAAATAAATGAAATGTGTTAGGTTGACCCATTACCCACAATGAATTGTGTCAAAATCATCAAATTTTAACTTTTAAAATAAAATAAAATAAATGGAGGTTGACACACAAGTCAACCCATGACACTACACAAAAACAATTCATATCAATTTTTCAAATATAGACACGACTTGTCTGAAGTCACGGTTCGACATGACCTGTGTTGTAATGTATTGTGTCATCAGTCAACTCACAAGTCATGACATATTTTGTCATCCCTGATAAAATGCTTAACAAGCTTATATAGGGCTAAGGCCTTTTAGGCTAAGATAGTAGGCTATATGTATTTTATTTTGTCTGAATTCAATAACCACCTATACTTTTAACAGAGGACCCTCAAAGTTGCTATTTAATGAGAAGTTATGGGCTTGGAGACATATTGACTGCGTTGTTGCACTGAAAAGGCAAGGTCAATCTTGGTAGTTATTAGGTATAGTAACCTGCCAACCAATCTTATATAAGAAGAGGCTTCAATATGAGAAAGTGCAGTGCCATGATCACGATATAGCTTGAAGGATGGGTACATAGGCATGAAGGCTAGCTTTGCTGCCAATAAACTGTTGTCTGCAAGTAATTTCAGAGCATATTTGCGCTGATTAAAAAAATCCCAAAGTTGGATCTAGAGATTCCTAATCCTAAAAAGAACCTTAAATCACCAAGGTCTTTAATTTTGAATTGATAATCTAAGACAGACTTCACATGGCGATTTCTTGGATGTGGTCACCGTTTAAGACTATGTCATCCACATAGAGCAAGAGAGCAATAAATGAAGATGGAGTGCTCTTAATGAAAAAAAGAACGATCCGCAATAGATATGACATATCCCAAAGAAATGAGGATAATGGTGAGTTTGGAATACCATTGTCTACTTACTTGTTTTAAACCATAGAGAGCATTTTCAAGTCTGCAAACTTTTCCTGAAGAATAGGACAGACCTGGTGGCAAAGACATATAGACCTCCTCATTTAAGTGTCCATGCAAAAAAGATCATTGTTTACATCCAATTGCTTTAAGAACCATTCCTTTGTGGTAACAATAGACAATAAAACTTAATTTGAGGTTAACTTGGCAACAGGAGAAGAAAAAGTGTCAAAATAGTCTGCTTCTTCCAATGGGGTATAATTCTTAGCCATCAACTGAGCCTTATGTCTTTCAACGGATCCATCAGCCTTATACTTTTATTTTGTAGAAACATTAAGATCCAACGACATGATTGTCTGGTGGTGAATCAACCACCTTACATGTTTGATTAAGCTTTCACACATTAATCTCAAGTTGCACTGCTTGTTGCTAACACTTATATTTAAAGGCCTCTACATAAGATTGTGGTTCTCTGTGGGAGCTAACATTTAAACAAAAATGAGTGCATGTGGCAGAATAAGTATCACAAGACAGTACGTTGGAAATAAGGTAGCATGTGTTGTTGGAGTGGTTACCTGATAGAGAAATCAACACTATGGAAGCATGGTGAGAACACAAAAAATCAGAGAGATGATGCCTTTTAGTTCTGGATGATCTTCTAAATGGGATGATTGAATTGATATTCTCAGGTTTTGTGGTGTTTAGTGATAAGGGGTCAACTAGAGAAAGATTGGCAGAATGCTCTTATTGTTGAAGTGTGGTGAATGGCAAGAGAGGGTAAGTGGAATTTGTATAAGGAAGGTCAATAGTGGTATTGAGAGGGTTTGACAGCAGTGAATGATCCGGTATGGTCTGTGAGGTGGTGGCACAAAGAGGAAAATAAAATTCATAAAAGATTACATTGCGAGACAAAAAAAGTTTTCTGGTTTGATGTTCAAGCAATATATACCCTTTTGTGCCTTCTTGATATCCAAAGAATATGCAATTCCAGGCTCTTGAAGAGAATTTAGTTCTATGAGATTGCAATGTAGTGGCATAGCAAAAGTAACCAAAGGTCTTTAGATGAGTGGAAGTTGGGTGTTTATTGAAAAGGAGATTAAGTTTTGTGTTATAAGAGAGGTGTAGACAATGGGTTAATTATATGGACTAAATGTCCCATTGCAAAAGTTCAATAAGATTGAGGCAAGGATGGTTGAAAAGCGAAGGCCTTAGCCACATTCAAGATATATTGATACTTCCTTTCAACTACCCTATTTTGTTGGGGAGTTTCAACACATGATGTTTGATGTAAAATACCTTTGGAATTGTAAAAGGTAGGTAGGGAAAATTCTGGACCATTGTCACTATGCACCACTTGCACCGTGATTTGGAATTGATTTTCATTGAATGTAATGAAGTTTTGAATTACCAATCTTGCATCAGTTTTGGATTTTAAAAACAAGACCCAAGTATATCTTGAGAAGTCATCAATAATTGAAAAAGAAATAGCTATGACTATCAATAGAAGTGACACCATAGAGTCTCCAAATATCTTCCTGCATCAGTTGAAAAATATAAACACTTTTATTGAAATGGCAGGTTTTGCTGCTTTATCAAATGACATGTATCTTAAAGGGATACATCAACGCATGGGATGAAGGGAAATTTC